CCTCCAACTCCTGGGCTCAAGCGAGTCTCCTGCCTCCGCCTCCCAAGTAGCTGGGACTACAGGCGCCCGCCACAACGCCTGGCTGTTTTTTGGTAGCAGCCATCATTGTTGTTTGGCAGGCCTGGGCTGGGGATTCGAACCCGCCACCTTAGGTGTATGTGACTGGCGCCTTAGCCACTTGAGCCACAGACACCGAGCCCCTATACTGATCTCTTAACCAAATTTTCTTCACACCCCCACATTTTATGTTTCCTTTCTTACCATGCAGATTGGTGATTTTTTTCCCCCAACTTTCTCTTAGGTCATCTTTCCTTGAGTCCCTTCTGCAACCAGAGTCTTTAAGGTTGGATTGGCTACTTTTGGCCGTGTCCCGTGATGCTCCGCCGAGCACAAGCACTATGGATAGTGAAGGTTACCCCAGGTATGGAAGAAGTCCTTTTTCTAAGGATTGAGCTCCCAAGTTCCTCTGGAACTGTTTTATTCACATATAACATTCTGGGCTCACTTGAGAAACAGTTATGGAAAAGATTATGGGAATAATGAGATTAGGTGTACTTCTTAGTGGTTCTGAACATTTTTGGGGTCATCAGCCCTGTAAGAATCTAATGATTCCTTTCAGAAAAAATGTACATCCATGCAGAATTTTGCACATGACTTCAGGGAATTAAACTGACCTCCTGTAGTTCTTTCATGGACCCACATTAAGAGCCCTTAATGATTAAAGTTAGAGGAAGAAAATTGTGTGTGTGTGTCTGTCTGCCTGAAAAATTGTGAAGGGATCAGACATAATCAGATTTAGAATTTTTTTAAAAAATAATATTTACAAAAAAATACACACTGATATTTGTATATTCCTGGGTGGCACCTGTGGCTCAAAGGAGAAAGGCGCTGGCCCCGTATTCCAGAGGTGGCAGGTTCAAACTCAGCTCTGGCCAAAAACTGCAAAAAAAAAAAAAAAAAAGAAAGAAAGAAAGAAATATTCCTTGTGTTTTCCTTCGGGAGAACCTTCCTATAAGCCCCCCAGATGCCTGCCTTATATGCCTAGGTAAAAAGTTTGGGAAGATACACTATGGCTATCTATGAGTGATGGAATTATGGGCTTCCTTCTTTTCTTTGCTTTTGATTACCTAAAATACCTAATATTTAAAAATAAACAGTTTATAGGAAAAGCAGCTATTTTTAATTTTTATAAGCCACATAAAAATGTTTAAAATATATAATAATAATGAAAATAATTAAACTCTTTTTAGATGGGTAATAACATTCTAAAGTTTATTTTCTATCTAATTTACTTTTTTTTTTTTTGAGACAGAGTCTCACTTTGTTGCTCTTGGTAGAGTGCCATAGTGTCACAGCTCACAGCAACCTCCAACTCCTGGGCTTAGGCGATTCTCTTGCCTCGGCCTTGCAAGTAGCTGGGACTACAGGTGCCCGCCACAATAGCCGGCTATTTTTTGTTGCAGTTTGGCTGGGGCCGGTTTCAAACCCACTACCCTCCGTGTATGGGGCCGGTGCCCTACCCCCTGAGCCATGGGCTCCGCCCTGATCTTTTTTCTTTCTTTCTTTTTTTTTTTTTTTAAGAAATACAGTCTTATTCTGTTGCACAGGCTGCAGTGTAGTGCAATCTCATACTTCTGGATTCAAGTGATCTCCTGCCCCAGCCTCGAAGTAGCCAGAGCTACAGGCATGTACTACTACAGCCAGCTAATTTTTACTTTTTTTGTAAAGATAGGGGTCTCAATATGTGGCCCGGGCCAGTTTCAAACTGTGTGGCTCAAGCACTGCTCCCACTTTGGCTTCCTGAAGTGCTAGCATTACAGGGCGAGTCACCTAACCTGACCTACTGATACTCTTTCATTTCACAGGCCTCATTCACATTTGCTTTCCTGGGGTTATAGTCAGCTGATCCTTCATCTAATTAAACTTCCTGCAGATTTTACAACCAAAGGGAAAATGGCTGACATATGTAGATCTTGTGGGTAAGTGAAGATTTTCTTTTCTTTTTTTTTTTTTTTGAGACAGCATCTCACTATGTCACCCTCGGTAGAGTGCCATGGCATCACAGCTCACAGTAACCTGAAACTCCTGGGCTTAAGTGATTCTCTTGCCTCAGCCTCCCAACTAGCTGGGACTACAGGCACCTGTCACAATGCCTGGCTATGTTTTGGTTGTAGTTGTCATTGTTTGGCAGACCCGGGCCGGATTCGAACCCACCAGCTCTGGTGTATGTGGCTGGAACCCTAGCTGCTGAGCTATAAGCGCCAAGCCTAAGTGAAGATTTTCTAAGAGGCTAAAGTTAAGATTAGAATAATTTCAGTTAACAACCTTACAGTTAAGAGCCTGAACTGATATGCATTATCATTTGGGAATTCTAAGTGATAGTAAATGAAATATTTTTTTCCTTTTAAATTTTGTGCGTATTTCCTTGTTTATTCCTCTCCAGTCCCTCTGTTGCTCACCTCAGTTCTCAGCCATGTGGATAATATTTAATTAAGTACCAGATTGTGTGATACCAGGTGTAATTGATATAGGAGTTCCAAGAAGGGAGAGGTCAGAATGGGCTCAATACAATCTCTGGTGAAGGACTCAGGGAGGAGGGGAGCCTTTGGACATAAATCCTGACACCTGGTAGAATTTGTATTTGTAAAGTACCCAGGAAGAGGGTCTGGCAGGTGAGAGAAACAGTAAAAGCAAGGGCGTGAGAAATTGACATTGCTTATTATCCACATCACATATTAGTCAATTATTTATTGCTTTTGGATATAGTGACCTGTGTCTCTTCCCTCTTAGTGTCTAATTCATATAGTGGTAGGTACTTGCTACACAGTTTTTCACTGATAATCAGGGATGAGACTGGTCAGGTGGTGGGTGAAGAGATTATGCAGGACCTTAAAAGCTGGTCAGAAGAATTTAGTTATCAGGAGACTCTTTTATACTTTTTGGTACAAAAATAATGAAAATGGAGCATTCTGGAGATCATTTCTTCTGTCATACACAAGTAGGTTTGCAGACAGGAAGGTGAACTAGGAAGGTGTTGCAGTCATTGAGATAGATAGAAATTGATGAGTAGGACAGCAAAAGGAACACATCCAAGGGATGTTTCAAAGGAAATTGCAATGGGACTATTTTTTTTTTTTTTTTTGAGACAGAGCCTCAGGCTGTTGCCCTGGGTAGAGTGCTGTGGCATCACAGCTCGCAACAACCTCCAACTCTTGGGCTTAAGCAATTCTCTTGCCTCAGCCTCCTAAGTAGCTGGGACAACAGGTGCCCACCACAACATCGGGCTATTTTTTGGTTGCAGCCGTCATTGTTGTTTGGTGGGCCCAGGCTGGATTCAAACCTGCCAGCTCAGATGTGGCTGGCGCCTTAGCCGCTTGAGCCATAGGCACCTAGCCTGCAGTGGGACTTCCTGCCACTGGATATAGGAAATGAAGGAGAGGGAAGAGTCAAGGAGAACTTCCAAGGTTTGCATATTTGAAGAAGAAATATGCTAATTTTGTATTGAATCTTAAAATTTTTAGAAAATATATAAAGTTTAAATGACTCATAATTGGGGCTTGGCCTCAATTGTCAGTATTTGCTATGTTGCCTGGTGTAGAGTGTGGTGGCATTATCATAGCTCATTGTGACCTCAAATTCCTGGTTCAGGCTGGTCTCAAACTCCTGCCCTCAAGTTATCCTTCCATTTCAGCTTCCCAGAGAATACTAAGATTATAGACATGCGCCACCAAGTCAGGCCTGTTAATAGCTTTTGTTTAAACAATCTGGGTTGTCCAAAAGACTCTTCTGTGATAATGGAAATGTTCTACTGAACTGTCCAATATGGTTGTCACTAGCCACATTTGGTCATTGAGTATTTGAAATGTGAAGGGGTCAACTGAAAGACTTTTATATTTGACTTAATTATATTTTAATTAATTTTATTTTAAATAGCCACATGTGACATGTTATTGCTATACTGGACAATGCAGCCCCAGGTAAATTCACTGCCTTTTATTCCTTTCTTCAACTTTGGTCTCTTTAAAGTTTCTGGCCTGGATATCTTACTCTCTGTTTGGAGCTGGAAAGAAGAAGGGAGGCCTTCACCAACATTGTGTATCTGAATGATATGAGCCTGATGGAAGGGGACAATGGTATGTTAA